AAAAAAAAAAAAAAAGCAGATGAGTAAGATAAAATTGTTTTCTAGGTTCAGTGCCTATAGCTCAGTGGCTACGGCAACAGCCACATACATTAGAGCTGGCAGGTTCAAATCCAACGCGGGCCTGCCAAACAACGATAACTACAACACCAAAATAGCCGGGCATTGTTGTGGGCACCTGTAGTCCCAGCTACTTGGGAATAATTGCTTAAGCTCAAGAGTTCGAGGTTGCTGTGAGCTGATGCCTCGGCACTCTACTGAGCGTGACAAAGTGAGACTGTCTTGGAAAAAAACAATTGTTTTCTAAACAACCACATGAAAGAATGTTGTTATTCTTACCTAGTGAGGCCAGGTTCCAGAAGTTTTCCAGCATCACATCTCTGTAGAGGTTCTTCTGAGAAATATCCAACAAAGCCCACTCCTCCTGGGTAAAGTTCACAGCTACATCCTCAAAGATCACTGAGTCCTAAAATATCCCACAAGTTCTGTTCAGAAGGTAAAAACTCCAATGTGCACATGAGGATGGATGAGGCTGTCAACACTGGAGAACTGAGAGCCAATTCATAGGAAGTTCAGAAGATTCTATGGTCTCCTACTTTACTTTAGAATTCAGTCATCAGATCTCATTCCCTTTCTACCCACACATACTTCCTGACAGAGCAAATCCAGTCTCATAGCTTTAACATTTCTAAAACATTAAATTTGTCCCCCCATAATATGATAGTAATGAGACAGGAAAAAAAACAAAGTGTTTTTCTTACTGTCTTACAGACACCTAATACAGCATGGAAGGCTTCTGAATCCAGATATTGGGGATATTCCTCACACCAAGAAATTATCCAGAAGACACCAGTTGGGTGCCCTATAATTCAACTCAACTCTGACACTACATACCTGGAGATAGTATCAGATCCCACAGATGAAGGCTCAACCCCACAAAACTGTCCCCCACTTGAGACACCAATAACAAGCAGTAGGTTGTCACTTATAATTCCGACTGACTAGCTATAAATCAGGGCTACCAGCATCCCCTCCTTGGTTTCAATTCATTTGCTGGAATGGCTCACAGAACTCAGGGAAACACATTTATCAAGTTATTACAAACCATATATATATATATTTTTTTTTTTTTTTTTTTTTTTGAGACAGAGCCTCAAGCTGTCCCCCTGGG